TAGCTATTGAAATTACATAAAATGAAATGTTTCTTGTTCGATTTAGGAAAAGCAAAGATAAAAAAATGTTATTGTTCATTACGAAATGCATTAGTTGATCATTTGTGGAGAAATATTCTAACGTTAATTAATAATGATAAATGTTGAGTTTAAGTAAAATATATTTTATGGAAGTTTGTAAACATAAAATAGTTGGGTTATTTGTTAAATTTTTATAAGTTGAAAATATATCTATAAAGGTTAGGGGTTCCCTATCGTTATAGTTACGGACAGTGGCTACTATCGCATTGACTTCGGAAGATTTGATAATAATTATTATTAAATAAATAAAAAGAAATTATTTGGGAATATTCATTTTTGGAGTGAAAATAGAGTAATGCTTTGAAATTATTTGGGAATATTCATTTTTGGAGTGAAAATTAGAGTAATACATTGAAGTAAAACTCAATTCCATTTTAGAATTATATCATTTTTGAGAAAAAGAATGGAATAATACTTTGAAAATGTTTTGAGGTTATGCACACTGCAAACAAAAAAACGAGAAAGTGGTGGGCTTGAGAACCGAGTAGAATCTCTATACAAATCCTTCATCGATATAGAAGCCATAACATAGTGCTCATACATATCCTCTAAATGGTGAGACGCATCAGCTTTTGAACATTTGAGAAAATTAATGGTTTGTCAGCCACCTCAATCATAAAATTTTAACACAGTTTCCATGTGTTTTAGATGATTAAGACTTAAACTCTTATTGTTGTCCTTTGCGTTATTCGCATCACCAATGCGGAAATGCAGAGTCCTCAAGCTATTAAGAATAATTTTTTTTTACTTTTATCACAAGAAAACATTACGTTTACTTACACCAAAAAAAAAAACATTACGTTTACGAAAAATCAACATAAACTTAAAACTTAAATTGATTACTTAAAGAAAACATGTGAATATGCTCTTGTTCTATGGTAGTAGACATGGTAAACGCAAACAAAATTTTCATTGCAGTTCCATAAAATAATTTCGGTGTTTCACGGTGGTTGACATTATTTGTGAACAGATTTGTACTGTGTATGGCATAGTTGAAAAAAAGTTCCGTGCATCGAGTTGTTTTAATTAGGGATGGATACAAGTCAAGTACTTATTTTTGATATACTTGATATTCGGTTTGGCTTGTAGAGTAATTAATATTTTGACTTGTACTTGGTTTGCTAAAAATAAATACTTATAATTTCAAGTACTTGCAAAAAAATTGACGTACTTGTAAGTTACTTGACTTATTTTACTACTTGTTACTTAAAAATTACTTATAAATTTGTTCATAATTATTGATAAAATATTTGATAGTTCATTAAAATTTAAAGTAATAAATTTATTATATAAATAATATGTCATTATTTTCTTATATTTAAGTTATTCGGAAAGTACACTATATAAGAAAAAGAAAACTTCAAGATGCTTATATAAATATAACACTTATGTTTGATGTGTTTATGAAAATAGAAATAGAATAAACTATTTTACTATGATTTAGGAAAATATATATTTGTTCATTAACAAACACATGTAACAAACAAAAAAACGTCAAGTAATTAATTTATTTAATATTTATTATTTACGTGATACTTATAAATAATTTAAATAGATTACTTAATACTTAACTTGTTCAAAACAAATACTCCTTCCGTTTTAGAATGATCCATGTTTTAGAAAAAAAAAATTGTTTCTAAAAGATCTATGTTTTACATTTTCAATGTAGATAATAATGGCAAATTGTAAACTTTAAAGATATTAGTTATGTTTACTAAATTTTGATTGGTTAGAAATTATAGGAAATATCTAAACACAGAAAATAATACATTTATTATCAAAATTTTATGTGTTTTCTTAATAAGTGTGAAAACTATAGAATATACATTATTTTGAAATAAAGGGAGTACTAATTTTTAAAGATCATGTATCCATCAAGTACCAAATAAGAGGCAAACAACGAGTGATTGTGGTCACAAATTAAATGTCATACAGAAATTTTAATTAACTAATAAAATGGATATTAGATATTTAATAAACCAAATAATGTATAACAAATTAGAGGACAAGTAAATGATAACAAGTAACAAACCAAGTAACAAGCCAAGTAGTTAAAAATAAAAATGAATTTGATACTTGACTTGTACTTGCGAGTAATACAATCCGTTTACTTGTTACTCAACTTGATTGTAACAAGTACTTATTTTTTTTAAACCTAGCTGAGACAAGTAACGAGTACAAACCGAATATCAAGTATTTATGTCCAACTCTAATCTTAACCTTTTTCAACTAGTTGTCTAAGCTATATACAACTTATATATATATATATATATATATATATATATATATATATATATATATTAACAACATACTGTAGAATTATTTTTAAAAAAATTTTAAATATTTTTTCTTCGATCTCGAGGATTATATTTTGAGATGTTTCTTTTGAAGTGGCAAAGAATAACAGATAGTTAGTAGTATATTACATTAGCTCACCACTTCTCTATTTTTAAAATAAAAATACAGTTATAAAATATCCATGAATTTTCTTAATTATTTACAATGGCATGCCATTGAAATTATTAATTAGCAAATTTTATAGGATTTTTATCTTTTCTCTTTAATTAACGCATTTCTAAAATCAAATTCTAACTACAAAATCATGACAATAATAATTATTAAAAATAATTAATTTCATATATATATATATTGTAATTAAATACATAAATTATATGGTAATTATTTTACTAATTTCATATACATAATAATTAATTTTATATTAATTAACTTACATTTTAGAATTTTTTAATTAATTATCAATATATCCCTTATATATTAAAAGAGAAACATTGTAATAAATGCGTTCACACCGTAATTGACACGTGTCGACCTCATAATTATTTGACAATTAATACGTTCTCACGCTAATTTTTTAAATTCATTATTTAACATGTTTATATAATATTTTAATTAATTCATTTTTCCTACATTTTTACCTTTTGTATTAATAAATTAAAACTTTCTACGTGAAACTAATGAATAATATCTTTATTGTAAGAAAATTACAAAATCATTAAGATTCACATCAACTAAAATGTTGCGATGAAAATGTTTGTAGAAATTGAAAATTTCGTACCTTGCCGAAGTTGGTCATAGTTGAGGTTTCAATACACAATAATAACAAGTACGGTGATTGATTATGAATTAAAGAAATTGAGGTGAAAAACACCACACAGTCAAATACTATTTTTTTTTTTTAAAGTTTTCATATCAGACCAAGAATTAGAAACAAAATCAAATTGGTAAAAGAAAATCAGAAATCAAAAAGCTTTAAAAAAATAAAAATCACAAAATCGATTAAAAAACAGAATTCAGGTATCAAGTGAAGATGTCACTTTGTAATATATATTATTTTTATTGTTTACGGGTACAATTTGATTTTCTTCATATGAAATAAATACAACAATTTAGTTATACAATATCATAAAATTTTGATCCATAAAAATAAAAAATACATTTGTGCAGATATACGAATCATATTTTAGAAACAAGGATGATACAATTGATGGTTTATAAGATAAAATAAAATTTCTCAAAATAAATTATAAAATTGTGTGTTTAAAATTTCTTTTTAAGCAATTGTTTAAACGGATAAATTAAAAATATATATTATAACTTATAAAAATATAAAAACAAACACCTGTGCGGATGCGTGGATCAAAAAACAAATCTTTCGGTCTTCTTTTGTCAAAATTAAACCTATAAGTAATTTGTAATCATTTACATTTAATTGATAATTTCATTTTATTATTTTACAAATTTCAGTCTGAATGTTTTATGTATTAATTTTTTATAGAATTTGAACATCGGGTTTTTTATTAGAAATGTTATAACTAATTTATTATGTTTTCTATACCGAATTAACTCTTACTTCTCAAGTTCTTTTGTATCTTTAATTGAAAAATATTTTCAATATATCGTATACATGTTAGATTTGTTTATATGATACCAAATATTTGTGATACAACAAATTGTTAATACACACAAAAAAATATTCAATGTAATATGATTAATTTTTACAAAATATCATTCAACAAAAAAAATTAAAAAGATAACATTAATATCTGTGCGGTCCGGGTCAGTGTCTAGTGTATGTTAAAATACAACACTTATTTGTATATTTTCCTAGTTTACTTTTTATCCCGTTGTATTACAGATCAATTTTATTATTATTCTATAGTATGACAAGAATAGTATATTTTCAGTATGGAAACATAAAGCTGTCAGCTAAGCTAAGACATGAAAGAAGCTCACTTTGCTTTCTTGTTTTCATGATATAGTCCCCCAACATAATGTTAACACAACAAGAAGAATCATATATAATTTACAAGCAAAGACCATTTATTATTTTCTAGGGTTATTACTGTTCATCTTGAGCTATGATTCTCAAAATAGCATAGTTACTTAGGAAAAAAGTATAAGAAATTATGATAAATTAATTTAAAAGAAAGTTTGCAAGAAAATTAATTAAAATAGTGTTACAACAGATTAGCTAACCATAAAAGAATGCTTGCGGAAGCCTAGAAAATATCAAAGCAATGAAGTGAAGTCCATTGTCACTTTTGCCAAAAAAAAAATATCCATAAATTTTACGGTTGGCAAATGGTAATAAAAAAGTTAAACCATATAGAAAAATTATTTTGAGCAAAAAACATATCATGAATTAATAAAGAGTGAAACAAATAGTAAAAACAGAAATGAAGAAGAAACAGTAAGACAGAGCACTAACCAATTACCTAGGAAACGCACGTTCACTCTCACACGCTCACACACACATCTCTCCCTCTCCCTCTCTTTCTCTCTCTTGTATTCTTTTTGTTTCAGTCTCTGCACACTTGTGTTTCCGTCTCTCTCCTCACATGTTTCTCTCTCTAACGGCGGACTGATGCACACAGCTTTGTATTCTCCGCCGTGAATTAATGGGGTGCATGTTCTCTCACCTCGCCGCCAAGTTCGCCTTTTTCCCTCCTACTCCTCCCACCTACCACCTTACCAAAAACCCCGATGGAAAACTCACCGCCGTCTCCGCTTCCTCCTCCTCCACTTTTCCCGCCGCCGGAGACTCATCTATCGACGTCAGAGTGGTAAAGACGAGACGCGGAAACAAAGTCGCAGCTTTCTACCTGAGAAACCCAAACGCGAGGCTCACACTTCTCTATTCACATGGAAATGCCGCAGATTTGGGACAGCTCGTTGATCTCTTCGTTCAACTTAAAGTCAATCTCCGAGTTAATCTCATGGGGTCTGTCTTTCTCTCAGATGTTCATACTCTTCATAATACGTTGTCGTTTCTGTGTTTATTTAATATCTTGCTACTAATAGCTTAATAAGTTTTTTTTTTTGGACTTGTTATATTTTTAAGGCTTACAAGTTCTGTGTATGTAGACAGTTTTTCAAAAAAAAAAAAAACAGTTTAATTATAATAAAACTAAGTATACTTTTTTCTTAATTTTTGTTAAATTTCTTTTTATATATCTGGTACAAGGTTGTACTTTTTTTTTGGTTAAAGCTTCACATTTTGTTTACTCCTTCAATAAGATTTTCTGTTGTCTTTACATCTCTTGAGAAAGATCACGCTTTTGGGAAATGGGTTGTTGTCTCGTTGCTCAAAAAGCTCAGATTGGTGATGTTACCGACAAATTTTCTTTTAGAGTCTATTTATTTCAATTTTTGTAAAACGTTTGGTCTTTTTCTTTTTGTTTAGTGGCGTTTTATTTTTCCTGATTATGTATGACCTTTTGTTTACCCCCAGAAATTTAATTTATAGTTTCTCACCTACCACCATCAGTTTGTAGTCACTCTTTTAGAACGTTTGATTCAGATCTGAAGATGGGTGGGTAAATAGTATTTACTATAAGGTGTAACTTTGTATTCGAGTAGTCAATAGGGGTCAATTTATGATGGTTCATTTATAGTTTCGTTCCTTAGTTTTTAATTTATTTTTTGTTATAATTTTCAGGTATGATTATTCGGGCTACGGAGCCTCTACCGGCAAGGTATGTAATACGTCTTCTTTATTATTATTTTAAGCTCAAGAACATAAATGTTCATGTCGTTAGCTTCGTACTTCTTAGGTTGTTGGGATGTGCTGCAGCAATCTCCTAGAACCCTAGAATGTTGATCAAGCGTATATTTGAATTTTCTGATTATACATTTTGACTAATTCTGGTTTATGTAATTTGTGTTTACAGCCGAGCGAGTATGATACATATGCGGATATAGAGGCTGTTTACGAGTGTTTGCAGACAGAATATGGTGTTGGACAAGAGGATTTGATTTTGTATGGTCAATCTGTTGGTAGTGGACCGACGCTGCACCTTGCCTCTAAGCTTCCTCGGCTTAGAGGTGTTGTTCTTCATAGCGGCATTCTCTCTGGTCTTCGTGTTCTATGTCATGTCAAGTTCAAGTTTTGTTGTGATATTTATTCGGTAAATATCCTTTTCCCTTAATCTCATATTGTTTTTTGAACCACATCTAGCATATGTCCTGTAGACTGATGTGAAGTTTAGATAGCCTATGTTAGTGGTCTTGGGTGGTTCTAGTATTATCTTTTAATGATTCTTGTTGTTTACTGGCAGAACGTAAACAAGATCAAGAAGGTCAAATGCCCAGTTCTTGTCATACACGTAAGCAAAATCTGTCTCTTGTTCATATCGAGAAGGTGAAACTTTATTGATCTTATATTACTACATATCATTACGCAGGGAACAGAGGATGATGTTGTGAATTGGCTGCACGGAAACAGGCTATGGAAAATGGCGAAAGAACCGTATGAACCGCTTTGGATTAAAGGTGGTGGACATTGCAACCTAGAGATTTATCCTGACTACATTAGACATCTCTATCGTTTTATACAAGACATGGAGAATACAACCACTAAGTCCCGTCTCAAGACGATTTGGCAGGAAATCCGTCGGCAAGAGGAGTCCAAGGGATGCTGTAGTTTCAAACTATGTAGACCAAAATGCCCTTCGTGTCCTAAACCTAGTTGCGACTGTGGCGAATGCGGTTGTTGCAAGTGTGAGTGTCCGTCTTTGCAAGGATGTTTCTCTTGCTGTAAGAAACCGAGCTGTGTTGGTTGTTGCTGTCCCAAGTTCAACTGCTGCAGCTGCAGCTGCTTTGGGAAGCCTAAGTGTCCGAAATGCTCTTGTTGGAAATGTCTAAAATGCTCCGAGTCTGAGTGTTGTCGGAGTTGTTGTTGTGCCGGTTGTTTTAGCTGGCTCTGTTGTTGCGGCGGAGGGAAGAGAAACGAGCAGAAGACGAGAGGAGAAACTACGGTGGCCAAGAGTGAAGGGTAATATTAGTACTTTCATATTCTTGTATAGATTCTGTTTCAAATATTCGGTACAACACATTCATGGGAAGAGACTGAGTTTTGAGGCGAAGAGTTCCATATAATTCTGAGTAACAAAACATTTATTGAGGAATAGGTTGAAAAAAGGAAACTTGAATCTTGACACCAATCCAGTATCATGTTAAAATAATTCTTAAAGATGACAGTTTCTTCTGTAAGAGGCACTTGAATAAGTGATATTGCTCTACCACCTAGAGAAGAACACGTTCAAAAAGAGTTAGAACCCAAGATTTGCAGATGATGATAGGCGTGTTCGTTTCATAATCGCCAAGTCTAGCCGTGCGTCTAAAAATTCAACCTTTAATCACGCAATACAAACCACCGGTGAGATATTCAACCTTTAATCACGCAATACAAACCACCGGTGAGATATCGCTGACCAATTTCCAGTCCAAAAATTCAACCTTTAATCACGCAATACAAATCACCGGTAAGATATTGCTGACCAATTTCCAGTCGCAGTGGCAACTAACAACCAGAAGAAGGGACGCTGAAATTATCTGCGACACAAGCTTTTCCTTTTTTTTGTCTTCGGCAATTCAGTAGCATCTGCCTCAACTTTTGATTCTAGTATTTTGGTGTCGCTGTGGTGCAATTAATTGCTGGTGTCATTAGAATCTACGTCTATGAAACGAACACGCCTGATGTCTTAGGTTGTCTTTCTCTTCTCATCCTTTATCAAATCCTCCACAGAAGCCCATCACTCTTATATCCAAGGTCCTTCACTCTGAGGATGATTTATTTTCATATTTCATCAACGTCGATAGCATATTTTCAAATCGGCATCCACCAATCTTCTTTCTGAGTCTTCTAACCACCCCTAATTCTATTTTCAGCACCAATCCTCCCCCAACCTCCCCCTCCCAGTCTTTGTTGGTTATCGACTAAGTCAAGTCAAATTATTAGCTAGTTTTCAGTTTTTGAATAAGTATTTTCGTTGCTATTATCATTCCTATTTTTTTAGGATTCCATTGTTTTCTAGTTAACTTTATAAGACTCTATAAAGGTCAGCATTCGTTTGATTTCATTAACACAAAAAATTCTAGAGATTCTTCGATCTCTGAGTACTTTATTTCTTGTTCTTATATTTGGTATCAGAGCAAAATCAATCAAGTGTTTGAGAGGAAAAGCACGTGATGATGAAAGCTGGGAATTTCACAGACATCTGCCGTTCCAAAGTTTGATGGAGATTATGACCACTGGAATTTGATAATGGAAAATCTTCTCCGATCGAAGGAGTACTGGGGCATTATCAAACCTGGGTTTGAAGAGCTGAGAAGGATAAAAAATTCAAGTCTTGCACAACAAAAGGCGCTTGAAGAAGCCACGCCGAAAGATATCAAAACAAAGAACTATCTATTCCAACTGATAGACAAGAGCACTCTAAAGACTATCACTCAGAATGAGACTGCTAAGAAATTGTGAGAGTCCATGAAGATCAAGCATCAAGGGACCACTAGGGTAAAACGAGCACAACTTCAAAGGTTTCGCAAAACCTTTGAAAGTTTGGAGATGCGTGCTGGTGAAGGAATTGCTGCGTACTTTGCTAGGGTTATGGAGACCGCAAATGACATGAAGATTGTGGAGAAGGAATGGAGGATGTGAAGATTGTGGAGAAGCTTTTGAGGACTATCATGGAGAACTTCAATTTCGTGGTCTGCTCTATTGAAAGTCAAAGGACATTGAAATGATTATGGTATACGAGCTTCGAGCGTCTCTACAAATCCACGAGAGAAAAGTCACCGAAAAGAGGAATGAAGAACAAATTTTACAAGTGGAGAATGAACCAAGGAATGATCGAGAGAGAGAGGAAGATGGTACAACCAGAGAGGAAGAAGCAACGTTAGAGGACGAGGGAGAGGCCGATTCTTTGTGAATCAATCAGCCAAAATTGCTTTAGGTGTTGAAAACAAGGTCACTATCAATTTGAGTGCACCAACAAACAGAAAGGAGTAAACTATGTAGAGTTCGACAAAGAGGAAAAGCTGTTGTTGATGGCTCATGCTGATATTGGAAGGGAAGAAGAGAAAGGCGTGTGGTTTCTTGATTCAGGATGTTCAAATCACATGACCGGAGAGAAAGGATGGTTCATGGAGCTAGGCGAGAGTTTCATGCAGTCAGTACGCTTGGAAAACAGTTAGAAGATGATGGTTCATGGAAAAGGAAAAATCAGATTTGAGATAGAAGGGTTGATACAAGTAGTAACTGATGTTTATTACGTCCCAGACCTGACCAACAAATTGCTGAGCATTGGTCAATTGCAAGAGAAACAGTTAACGATCATGACCAAGAATGGAGTATGCAAATCTATGATAATCAGAGAGGACTGATCGTGGAGACAAAGATGATGATCAACCGCAAGTTAATGATCTATGTTGAGAATTAATTCAAAACAGAAGAGGAATATTTGGGAACACTGTGGCATAGAAGGTTTGGCCACCTCAACAACAAAGCCATACACATGATATAGAGAAAAGAGATGGTTAAGGGATTGCCTAAGATGAAAGACGAGTCCAAGGTGTGCACTGTGTGAAATATTGGGAAACAATGCGTGAGTAGATTCCAAAGAAGAGCAAGAGGAGGGAATCAGAGAAATTGGAGCTGATCCATACTAATATCTGCGGGCCAATAACACCAACCTCTCACAATGGGAAAATGTATTTAATGGTACTTGTTGATGATTTTTCTCGCAAAACATGGATCTATTTCCTTGCAGAAAAATCAGAACCATTTGAGACCTTCAAAAGTTTCAAAAGCTCAGTGGAGAAAGAAGCAAAGACAGTGATTCGAGGCCTACGATCAGACAGAGGAAGCGAGTTTACTTCTGAGAGAATGAAGGGATCAAACGCCAGCTGACTGCAGCCTACACTCTTCAGCAAAATGTTGTAGCTGAGAGGAGAAACATAACAATCATGAATATGGTTTGTGCTTAGTTTCAGAGAAAGAGATGCCAAGATTTTTGTGGCCAGATGCAGCAAGATGGACAGCATGTTTTCAACCAAAGCCTCACTAAATTAATCAAGGACAAAGTGCCAGAAGAACGATGGACAGAATCAAACCAAAGGTCGACTACTTCAGAGTGTTTGGTTTAGTTTTTCATGTTCACATCCTAGAGCAGAAATACATCAAGCTTATAGATGCATTCTACTCGGTGTCAGTGATGAATCCAAGGCTTACCGACTCTATGATCCCATCACAAAAAAACATCACTATGAGTAGATATGTGATCTTTGACGAGGATGCTAAATGGGACTGGAATTTAAAGACACCGGAAGAGAATGATCTGACATGGGGTGATGATGGAGCTCTTGAAGGAGAAGAAACATATGAGGAAAAAAATGGAGGAGAAGAACAAATAGGCTCTGAAATAGAAAAAGTGGAAACTGGTAATATTGCAGAAGAGTAAAATACCAACGATGCAATAGAAGTAGAAAAGAGACTGAAGAGACTTAAGAGAGTGAACGTGGAGAAACATCAAGGATAACAAGGAAACAACCAAGCTGAATGCAGGACTTTGTAAGTGGAGAAGAACTTGGTGGGGAGGAGCCATGGATGCATTTCGCACTCTTTGTTAGCAGCGATAATCCAGTAAACTTCTACGAAGATGAGAGAGAATCAAGATAGAGGGATGCAATGCAGATGGAGATGAACTCTATTGAAAGAAATAACACATGGGAACTTGCGGAGCTGCCTTCACACGCAAAGAAGATTGGCATCAAGTAGATATATAAGACAAAACTAAATGAAGAAGGCAAGGTAGAGAAGTGCAAAGCTATTTAGTTGCAAAAGATTGCACTAAAAACGTAGGAGTGGACTACACAGAGTTCTTTGCCCCAGCAGCTCGATCCGATACAATCAGAAGTCTTCTGGCCGTAGCAGCTCAGCGAAGTTGGAACGTTGTGGGAACTGAAATTCGCACTGTCGATTTTCGTAAATTTAGGAACGTCAAGTTAACCTAACTTTCCCAGAGGTCCCAGATATCTGCTAACCACACACCAAGCAATCAAAGATACAAAATAAACAGATGAAAACTATGAGAATCGGAAAAGAGCAAAGAGATTTCTTATTACGAATTAGCGTAAGAGCGGTACAACGAGGTAAAGCCTTGGCCACAAAAGCTGACGGCGAGTTCTCTAGTTATAGCAACCTAAGACTAAAACCCTAGTTGAGACGCAGCTCGATAACAAAAAATGAAAGTTGCCTATTTGTCCTAAGTGCTAAGTTTTTCTGTGTGATGAAAGCTCTGAGTTCGTCCCCCTACTTGGCTTCGACCTTGTGCTTATATACTCCTCCTCTAGGCGGTTTAGTCTTTTCTTTTCTGCCTTGATTCGTGTCTATCGGAAATCTTCCATTTATCTCGATCTCCATATTTATCCTGGGAAAACTTATATTTCTCTCCGAACTTGACATTTATGTTCTTCCTGAAAATAAATGGATAAACCGTCATCATATCTTTGGGCTGGACTTCGTCTAAAGTCGTAAGTGGGCCTTTATCGCGTTTTAGGACCTTCCGGGCCGTTTTGCGTCTTAACTGTCTTACTCTTTTAGACGGGATCGTACCATGATACGATGCCGCTTTTATAAAACATCTCGAGTCAATCGTATAGTTTGGTAATCTTCGGTTTTTTGTTTAACCGCTGCCGTTTTATACGATTTACTCGAGTCTTTACGAGAAAAGAAGTCTTTAGCAGTTTTTATCATAAAGTTCCAAAGATAAGACGGATCGAGATGAAACTAGAGATGTTCCGAACACAGTTCAGAGTATGATCAAGTCGAGGGGCATATGCCTTGTGTCCGGGCAGTGCGGATGGTGAGGTTTGGCTTGGCCGGTGCTGGGCCGAATGACGTGGTCAGCTCGCGGTTTCGCAATCTGGACGTTATGGTCAGCTTGCCAAGACGGCGAGCTAGTTTAGCTCGGTCAGCTCGCCGGCTTGGCGAGCTGGATGGCACGGTCCAGCTGGCCAAGCTGGCGAGCTGGTTTGTCTCGGACAGCTTGCCGGCTTGGCGAGCTGGATGGCACAGTCCAGCTCACCAAGATGGTGAGCTGGTTTGGCTCAGCCAGCTCGCCGGCTTGGCGAGCTGGATGACACGGTTCATCTCGC